TGTGAGACATAGAGTCAAAAGAGATTATTTAGGTGTTTTAAGATTTAATTACTGCCCCACTGGACTAAAAACTTGCATGGACCTGTAGCCCCTGTGTTTTGGCCAATTTCTCATATTTGGAATGGGTGCATTTAACAAATGTCTATACCCCCATCATATCTGGGAAATAACTAATTTGCTTTCGATTTTACAGGCTCATAGATGGAAGGGACTTGCCTTGTCTCAGATGAGACTTTGGACTTGGACTTTTGAATTAATACTAGAACGACTTAAGATTTTGGGAGACTGTTGTAAGGCATGATTGTGTTTTGAAATGTGAGGACATGAGATTTGGGAGGGGCCAGGGGCATAATGATGTGATTTGGCTGTGTCCCCACCCAAATCTCATCTTGAATTGTGGTTCCCACAATCCCTACGTGTTGTGGGAGGAACCCAGTGGAAGGTAATTGAATCATTGGGGTGGTTTTCCCCATGCTATTTTCATGATAGTAAGTAAATTCTCACGAGGTCTGATGGTTTTATAAGGGGCTTCCCCCTTTACTTCTACCATCATATGAAGAAGGATGTGTTTGCTTCCCCTTCTGCCATGATTGTAAGCCTCCTGAGGCTTTCTCAGCCATGCCGAACTGTGAGACAATAAAACCTATTTTCTTTGTAAATTACCCAGTTTTAGGCAGTTGTTTATAGCAGCATGAGAACAAACTCATATAATGACCGAATGTTTGGAAAGGTTCAAGCATTTTCTTATGACCTATACAATTTGCTAGAGCAATCAAAAATATTCAGTACATTCATACTGTTTTCAAAACATTTAACTTGTTCAAAATTCACTCCACCTTCTGGCTAATAAACTTCTATTCAACTTACGCACGTGTTTCAAATTGCATCATTTTTAGCCTCACTGCTTTTTAAAATGGAAATTAAAACAATATAAAATTTCTTCATTAGCTATACCTACAATGTTGTATTTTAATATAATATCCAATGTGCTAAGACTGCAGTGAATTCTTATTGTTGTTATGGTAGTGTAACTTGGCACAATCTTTTAGAATGAAATTTGGATATATATTCCAGAACCTTCAAGATACTCATAGAAACTAAAACTAACAAGTATTAAAAGCATAGAGGGCAGGCATATGTTGTTATATACTGGTTGCTTGTTCCTATATCATACACTCCCACACACACTCATCCGAACTTCTTTATTATATAAGACTGATACCTTTTTTTTGTCTATTATACCAGCAACTACAAGAAAATTGAGTCTATAGTTGACCTGAAAATAAAGTTACATTTATAAAACCAAGTTAAACATTTGGATGAGTCAAATAGAGTGAAATGAAATAAATGACTGCTGTGAAAATATAAAGAAAAAATGACTAAAAGCAAAATGGCATTGAAGGAAAACTTTGAAAAGAGATGTGTAGCAAGACCTCAGCTTTTGCCAGCATCATCCCACCATGTGAAGACTGATTAAAGCAACGCTTCGTAAATGAAGTTCTATGGCAGATAGAGGGGACTGACTGCATGGTGCATATATTAGCCCCAGCCAAGAAAACATTATCTGGAGAGATCCATTCTCCTCAGATACTATGAAATTTTTAGTGGTTTATTCTACAAACTTCAAGTGCGGAGGTGAGGGGAAGGGGACAATAGTGTGTTTATATACAAAGTACTTGAGACTGCTTGCTAGAGGCAATCACAGTTCTTGTAAAAAGAATTGAGAATGAAGCATAGAATAAACAATAATCTACTCTGAAATTAAGAAACAACCCCAACCTCATATAAGAAACTCTGCAGAGTATCTGCTTTGGGCTAAAAAGAAAGAAGGTACTGAGCAGTTGGCACAGTATTCCCACCTGAGGGCACCAAGCAGAGCTATAAAAAGTAAGTAGAGGAAATTAGAAGGATCCCACTAATGACTTTTATTTATCCAGTCCAAAATATCAATAGAGCCAAGGTCGAACAGCCCCCATCTAGAAGAATAAATAAATCTGTGCTAATAGCCAGAAAAATTGCAAATTAAGAACAATGAGTGAGAACTTCTTCAGCTAGGAATTATAATCATAATGTAGAGCTATATTAAGCACTAATTAAAAGAACATTCTGGGTAAAGAAATGTATATTTAGATAAGTAAAATACAACAGAATTTATCTGTAAATTCAAATACATGTAATAATTTAGTGTCATGAAGAAAGCAGCCTTCAAATCAGTAAACAAGACAGATTGTTCACTGTATTCAGAAAACTTGTCAGATACTCAGGAAAAAAAAAGAGATCTCTACTACTCATCCTTTACAATATAAAACATTTCACGCGATTAAGGTTAAGATACAAAATAAAAACAGGAAAGTACTAAAAGAAAATACAGATTGAGTCTTTTAGTATTAATAATTAAAGACTCCCTCAACAGACACAGAAACTTTGAATAAATGTAGTAAATCTACTTTTCTATAAGGGGAAAATAGGAATGGAGAATGTTGTTGATACATAGGGGCTTGGGTTTAATGTAACAATCAATGTACTGTAACTTTACTAAAAGTTACATACTGTTTGAAAGTAAAATCTTTAAACATAAATAGATAAGCTGATAGTAAGGTATGGAAACAAATGAGGAAAATACCAACTGAAATAATGCTAGTGTCTTCCTTTGATGCTGGCAATATTCTCTATTTTGATCTGGGTAGTGGGTGTGTACACAACTGTACACATTAGAAAAAAATCTTAAGATCAGTGCTTTGTATATTCTTTATTGTATGGGTGTTATATGTCAATAAATAGGTAAGGAGTCTGTAAAGATATAGAAATCTCATGTTGCTATATTAATATCAAATAAATAGATAATAGATAAAGCATTCTCAAAGATAAAGAGGCCACTATGTAATGACAAAAAATCGTCTTAGAAGTAATGTCAGAGGCATTTGAACCAGAGTGCCTCCATCTTGAATAGGGGTCTGGTAAAACAAGGCTGAAATCTGCTGGGCTGCATTCCCAGGCAGTTAGCCGTTCTAAGTCACGAGATAGGAGGTCAGCACCAGGTACAGGTCATAAAGACCTTGCTGACTGAACAAGCTGCAGTAAAGAAGCCGGCCAAAACCCAGCAAAACCAAGATGGTGACGAGAGTGACCTCTGGTTGTCCTAATTGCTACACTTCCACCAGCACCATGACAGTTTACAAATGCCATGGCAATGTCTGGAAGTTACCCTATATGGTCTAAAAAGAGGAGGCATGCATGTTGAAACAAGAGAGTTCCCTGACGCAACCCACCCCTCACAGGATGCCCAACAGGGTTGTGGCTTGTCTCTTTGCCCACTGTGTGCTCAAACCCCTTATGGGAGGGAGAGCATGCAGATGGACAGGTGCAGGAGCCGGGGAAAGTGCTTTTGGGCACCAGCCCCATGGTAGCATCTAAGGGTGGATTCCTACAACTCCCAAATTCCCAACGAGCACGTTACAGTGCCTCTTAGCTCTGCTGTCCGCAGATGGCTTAAGTGTTAACCAGCTCAGTGACATGTTGGTGTTTGGTCCTAGTCCGGTATCCAGGAAAAATTAGGTCACACATGGACTTGAAGGTTGGTTAATGCTGGGGTTTTATTGAGTAGAGGTAGCTCTCAGTGGGATGGATGAGAGCTGGAAAGGGGATGGAGTGGGAAGATGATCTTCCCCTAGAGTTTGGCTGTCCCATGGCCTATCTTCTCTCCAACCTTCCCCAGCTGAACTCCTCTTGATGTTTAGATGTGCCTTCTCTTCTTTCCTTCTATGCTGCACCTCTCTTCTGATCCTCTGATCTTCTGCTTATGGAGCCTGAGGCTTAGGGTTTACATGGGTATAGGATGGCAGGGGGGACGTGGTGGGCCAAAAGGCTGGGGAACCTCTTCTATCCATTATTTCCTTCCCTACTGTTCATATCAATATAATCAAGAAATAATCATAAAAATGGGCAACGAGTAGCCCTTGTGGCTTCTCTGCCTATGGAGTAGCCATTCTTTATTCCTTTACTTTCTTAATAAACTTGCTTTCACTTTGCTTTATGGACTCCTCACCCTGAATTCTTTCTTGTGCAAGATCCAAGAATCCTCTTTTGGGGTCTGGATCGGGATCCCTTTGCAGTTAGAATAACAGTTCAGAACTTGGATGAGTTTAACAATGAGCCTCAAATATATAAAGTAACACAAAGTGAAAACTTCAAAACATTCAGTAATTGACTTAGAAAAACTAAAAGCTAATTTACTTACTATAAACTCAAGAAGTTGGAAAAAGAACAAGAGAATAACAAAAACAACAACAAGAACAAAAAGTAGACAAAAGTCATAGTATAGAACAGAAGTCATTAAAATTGAAAATGAAGTGAAGTGAGCTGCCTTTATGAGAAGCAGAGCTGAAGGGCAGATGGAACAGCAGGAGCCAGATTTACCCTCCTGCAGGAAATGACATCAAACAAACAACACAAAGTATGAAAAAATGAAATGCAAACACTGGACATCAGTAGAGTGATTGCCAAGAGAGAAGAAACAACCAAAATGGAGGTGAGCTCCATTGTCCAGCTCACAGCCTGGAGGGTTCCCAGGCCCCAATGTGGGGTCTCTCTGAGATGAGGAGGCAGAGCCGAGTCTAAGGAAAGCCTGGGTGGTTTGAGTTTGCAAGGCAGAGAACCCAAGAGGAAAAACTTGCACAAAAAGTTCTAGAAATTTGCAGAGGACTCTCCTGAAGTCTTTGGCTGAGGTCTGATCAGCATATGGATGTGAGAAAGCTACCCATATACTTCAAAACTTCTTTAATATCATAATGACCAATGAAAACCTCTTGATCTTATTCTGGGTTTTAATTTTCTCTTCTATAATATAAGGGGTACAGGAGAGAGTGATTTTAGGTGTCATTTAGCAATAAAATGCTCTGAGCTTTCTAGTTCTTTCATTGGATCCTTTTTTGTCCTTTGGGGGAACATACATGAATATTTTTTGTTCCTAACTTAGGTAAAAGATAAAGGAACTCAGGCTGTTGCAAGATGGCTTTCACTGTAATGCTGCAGCTCTTCCATCTTTCATGAGTAATTCTGGATACCGTCAAACCTTCCAATCATGACAGCAAAGTGAGGCTTTGCAGCACACTCACAAAGTTTTCTTCCTTCTGGAATCAAAAGAACTTAAAGCCAAGAGCAAAGAATACAAATAAAAGGGAAAGTAAATGTAGATACCATTTTCAATGACTTAACTTTTCTTTCAGCCTGCTTTTCACTTGCAACAATAAGCCCTGAGGTCTCAGACTGCCTTGTAACTATTTTCTAGAAATATAAGATGGTTCAGGAAAAAGGTGGAAATTTAGATGATAAAATACTAACTCACTTGTTTTTATTTCATTACTGTTATTAGTGACAAATGTGAGAATCTCAGGTATACATAAGAATATGAATAAACCACAAATCAGTCTTACTTAATTTTCCTGACTGATTTTTTGCCTGTTCTAGGAGTGACTATCAAAAAAATACATTGTACATGTAGATACAATATTTTACAGACTAACACTTTAAAACCGCTATGAACATGAAGAACAAACAATTTTAGGGGGACTTACAAAGCAAGTTGACTTTGAAAATGTTCTATAATATTTTTGTATTTTTGCTATCACTCCCAAGTCAAAGAATGTTAAATGAAACAAGAAAAACAGTGGAATTTCCACTTCCCTGACCACACTGATATTACTGTTTATATCCAAGTGTTCTTGGAGCAGTGTTGCAAAAAAAGAAAAAAAAAAACCAGAATTGCCTTTAAAGAATATATAGAGTCAAATCTGCTTTAGAGAGGTCATCTTTAAGTAGACAGTCCTGTGACATTTTTGCATCATGAACGGGGCAGATGGGAGAGAAATGGATTGCAAGAACCGAAGAGGCTAATTCGCTCAGGACCTGTGAGGAGGGAGTAAGAAGTTATTTTCTCCTGGGTGTTGGGTGGTAGGAGTTGGCACTTTTGGAGATTTCCCCATTGTCACTACTCAAGCTTGCAGCCAGCTCTGATCAGAGATACCAGCACACTCCTTGAGGCAGGCTTTACTTAAATTTCTTTATGCTTCATAGTTAGCAATGAAAACCTCTCCCACAACTGAGTTGCCATTGAAACGTGTTTTCTACATAGCAGGCCAATGTTTATAGACCCTTACGGATTTAACCCCGTCTGACAATGTAAGAGGTTACTCAACAAAACTTGGTTTCATTTCCAGAGCCAATTATCTCACCTATTTTACCCACCTCTGTTCCACACATTCCACCCCAATTCAAAGAAAGCTTTATTTTCACTTCGCTTTATTAATCTGTCATTCCCTATATATTCATACACCTGGTTTTTCGTTGCATGGCTTAGTGTTTCCCTTCTGCTCCTTCCTTCCCTGGTTTATCTACACTGGACCACTGTTTGCACTGTATTTTTAATTGCCTATTTTATTTGTCAGTCTCTCCACCTTAACAGTTTTGAACTCAGGGACTGACTCGTCCTTCTCACTGTGGTGTCCATTGGGCCTCGCATGGTAACTGACACACAGTGGGAATTTATAAATGCTCACTGTGTCACTGAATGAATAAGTAAATTAACTAATTAGCTAATGAATACTCTAGTAAGATTTTATGAAAGATATTTACATCAGTTTCTAAAAGTGAAGCTTGCAATTACATGGTAAAAATGACATTATTGTTGTTATTACTATTATTACTACTACCATGATAAGCACCACCAGAAAAGCAAGAGATGAGCATAGACATTACTCATATCGACAATCCATATGAAAAATCCAAAGAAGAAGATCAAAATTATCTTCCTCAGAAATATATCCCCCAGATACTTGCTACCCCCCAGATTTCATGAGGTTCCTCCCTCATATCCTTCACATTTACTCCCAAAATGTTTTCAGAGAAGCTCCCATGATTATCCTTTAAAAAAAAGCAATCTCATCTCCTGCCTTCCCTACACACACACACACACACACACACACACACACACACCTGTAATGAACACATGCTACTGGCTGGAGGCTCACTACCATCAGCCCTTTCTAGGAATTTGCCCTCAACAGAGGAAAGTCATGTCACCAAAGTCACAGTCCCCTTTCCAGGAAACAACTTGCATCCCATTTCTGGTCACTGCCTCAATATAAAGGCCTGGCCTCCATTCCCCAAGTCAAGGCAATCGGAAGGCCCATCCCTGCGTTCCAGTTCTCCGTGGAGTTGGCAGAGGCCCACCTGTGCCTGCTTCAGACCCCAACTTCTCTCTCTACCCAGCCCTGCTTCCTTCTTCAAAACACTTTAAATAAACTTCCTGAACTTCAATCTCCATCTCAGTCTTTGCTGCCTGCACATCTGACCTACAGACCCTTCCTTTATTCTGCTTTATTTTTTCTCCATAGCGCTTACTACATTTATTGCTCTATCACAATTCACACATCACATATTCATTACTGACATATTATATATTCATTTTCTACTGCATTTATTGCCCTCTCGCTCCTCCTGTCAGATTGTAAGTTCCAGTAGGGTAGGAATTTTTTTTTTACTTGCTACTGTAACCAGAGGACTTGGAACACTGAAAGCACTATATAGATTTTCATGATAAATATCAAAAAAATGAAAGTTGGAACTTGCAAACTTATAGCCTGTTTAGACTACTGCTTCTGAACCCCAGGTGTTACTGTCTGCCAGAAATCCAAAGTACCTACCTTGGTATCCATTAATTAAGATCAGACAAAAAATTAAGAATATTCAAAGGGATTTGCCCTAGCATAATTAGGACTATAGCAGCAAGAATTAACATTTTCAGGGGAACAACTTCTGTCACATTTCTTTAATTTATATAACTTTGATTATAATAGTCATCTTCAAAATAATGATAGCTAGCATTAGCATAGAGTGCTCTAGGTCACAAAGCTCTACACATATTATTTCATTTAGTTTGATGCTGATGAAACCATGTAAAGGACATAGAATTGTTATGCTAGTTTTACTAATGAGGAAACTAAAGCTCTGAGATCTTACATGACCTTTTCAATGACACAGCTGGTAAGTGAGTTCCATCCAGGTCTACTGACTTCAAATTCACTGTTCTGTCGCTCAGCACATCACCCTAATAATTCCCTGGAGAGTGACTCCACAAAACTAAAGCTGTTCTACAATACCTATCGGAAAAGCAAAATGTGAGCACCTCAGCAACCCAACTGAAAGACATCCTGTATATAGCTTATTTACATTTATTCCAAATAATATTTTTACATATGCAACATTCATGAGAATTATGAGTTGTCTTGGTTTCATTTGTAGGTTTTTTGCATATATATTTGCAATTGAGAATGAATACCATAGATCTTCTGGATAAAGGACACTTCTTATCTATTACTTCTTACATAATACCTCTGAATATTCATCAACTCTCTGCTGTTCTGTTAAAGATATATACCTACTACCTATGATAATAAAGTTACTTTTGATTTTGTCAATGACTTTTATTCTTTTACATATTTCAAAGGTAAAAATATTAAAAATTCATATAAATAAAAAGAAAATTACATATAGCATTCTCACAAATATATCCCATTATCACATTGTATTTATATATATTCTTCCAATACTCACTCTCTCTTTCTCTCAATATAATACATATTATTTTATAAATTTATTTTTTCTGAAGTATTTTATGTACTGATGATATAGAAATGCTATCTTGTCATTTGAACATCTAGAAATCAACTGGAATATTTAATAATTTTAAAGTAAGTTTTTATTAACAATATAATTATATTATAGACACACAATGTGATTGTCCACATCAAATAAATAAATAAAAACCTAAAGTTTACACATTACAAATAAAAATAAAGGAAAATATATGTTTACTCCTTTTTCATACCTGATTTCTGTTTATTAGGGCACAAGAGAAGGTCCAAAACATTCACGTCTTATGATGGCCTGTCTTAGTCTGCCTGAGCTGCCATAATAAACAAATACCACAGATCTGTGCAGGTTAAACAACAAAAATTTATGTTTTCACAGTTTTAGAGGCTAGGAAGTCCAAGATCAAGGTCCAGCAGGGTTTGGATCTGGTGAGGACTCTCCTCCTGGCTTGTAGATAGCCGTCTTTTCGCTGTGTCCTTGCATGGTAGAAAGAGAGGGAGTGATCTCTCTTGGTGTCCCTTCTTATAACAACATTATCCTGTTGGATCAAGGCTCTACCCTTATCACCTCATTTAACTTCAATTACCCCCTTAGAGGCTGCATCTCCAAATACAACCACATCATGGGTTAGGGCTTCAAAATATACATTTTGGAAGGACCACAGACCCTTAGTCCACAACAAGGCCCAAGCCTAAAAATAAGAATAACTCTAAATAATATGCTCTCAAAGAAGGATCTTGGGGACAACTGAATATACAGAGTTTAGTACCCCAAATCCATGCTAGGCAAGGCATGCTCCTATCCAGATAGCAGCTAAGGTATGACACAGGTTCCCACAGTATAGTTAACTTAGCTGCTATTAGTAATATTGCTATTAGTAAGTCACTTTATCGCTTAAGTCTCAAATCTCTTATCTGCAGAATAGGAATAACATGTTTCTCAAAGGACCAGTGTAAGGATTAAGTGAAGTTATGAGTCCCAACTCTAAAGTTTACACATAAACCTAATAAATGTTAGAAGAAACGAAGAATGACAAACTGTCCCAGATCACCTCAAAGGATATCCAGCTATTTGCAGATTTGCTAAGTCCATCAGGTATGCTCCCAGAGTTCTAACCCAGTACCAAGGAAAGCTCTAGATTGACACAATAAACCATGATCATATATTGAAGGCGCACTTCCTCTCTGCCAGGCTCTGTACCAGGTAATATACATTCTTAGGTAGAAATTACAAAATTTAAAGTGTTAATCATAGTTGTTACATAATTAGACAAGCACACTAGAGGGCAGCGTCTATTGGTAATGGTTAGTCTTTTAGGGCATTAGAGCTGCAAGTCAGGGTGCTAAGAAGTCAATCACTCTCTTCGATAATTATCAAACCTAACAACGACCACACCTCCTAGGCACATCTCAGTCCTAAGCTCATTGGCAGTCAGATTTTTCTCACTGATTGCTCAGACTCAAGGAAGAGGAGCTTTGAAGGCTGTGATGGGACTTGAAAAACTCCTTTATATGCTATCAGTATATAAACAAAAACATCACAAAAAAATCGTGGCTTTCCACTGCGCATTATCCCAGGTAACAGACCCTAAGCTAGGTTCACCACTTAGGATATAGCATTCAAATATCATAACTCTGTGAGGCTGGTACTTTCATTTTCTCCATTCTCAAGATGACAAATAAAATATCATGTGGCTTTAAAAGTAACCTGACCAAGTCAAAGGCCAAGAGCTGAGAAGAGTTTCAAACAATAATTTTTCTAACTCAAAAGCCCATGAGTGAGTCTACAACATGTCCAGGAGGGGCAACCTGAAATTAAGAAAGCCTGGTAACTTAGAATTATGAATTGCTGACAAAGGCCTCTTCTTTCATGAAATTTCAGTAAAGACTTAGAGCTAGGATATAATAGACTATTCAAACTTGGTATTAGAGCTCTGAAAGGAATAACATAAAACAGCTATTAGAAGTCCAAGTGTAGGCAGGGCGTGGTGGCTCACGCCTGTAATCCCAGCACTTTGGGAGGCTGAGATGGTTGCATCACAAAGTCAGGAGTTTGAGACCAGCCTGGCCAATATGGTGAAACCCCATCTCTACCAAAAAAAAAAAGTACAGAAAATTAGCCGAGCATGGTGATGCACACCTGTAGTCCCAGCTACTCAGGAGCCTGAAGCAACAGAATCTCTTGAACCTGGGAGGCAGAGGTTGCAGTGAGCTGAGATTGCACCACTGCACTCCATCCTGGGGTACAGGGCAAGACTCCACCTCAAAAAAAAAAGAAAAAAGAAAAGAAGGCAAAGTGTAAAAGGAAATGAGAATAATTGACTTTTCAGAGCTATTTATTTTCACTCAGAGATAGAGTTCATACTAAATCCTTATTTATACTGGGTATGGAATCATATACATTGTTGAGATCTGAGTCTGATTATGCCTATGGCACTGTGCAATGTATTTCATTGTAAACAAAGTAAGTCTGAGTTTGATTTAGAGAAAAACAAGAAATATCTTTAAAAAAACACTACATGCGAGGGGAAAACACTTCTCCTTTGTCCTCTTTCCTCCTGATTGATGAGCGTTTTTCAAAGTTATCAAAGGGTTGCTACAAGGCTTACCTTGCCCACATGCCTTTGGATGTATTTTCTAGTGCTACTGGGAAGACGTGTAAAGACAAGGCACATTCACCATGGTGTGGTGTGTCAAACTTGAATCACTGGACTTGAGAAAAGAAGGCAAAGTTTGTGTTCTATGCTGAAAATAGCCCATGTATTTCTCTCAGGGATTAAAATGTTTTTGAGGCTAAAAAACAAATTGGGAAAAAGGGTAAAGAAAAAATAGTTTTTTGTTAGTATATAAATATCTACAAAAATCCCATCTTAAAACATCAGTAATACAAGTAAATTAATCTACTAGTAGCAAGATTACCTATCTAATACAAAGTCTATTCATTGCTCATTCATATGGCTATTCTATTTCATAAGGTTTTTGCAAGATGGAATGACATGAAGAATATTGCTTGGAAAAATAGATGATGTAACTTCATAAGCATTTCTCAGGTATTCCTCTTCTGCTAGAATTTAAAATGAATCTGCTTACTACCCTGGCCTCAGCCACATTAATGAATAATTTCTTTTCTCCTTCTGGTGAGTCTCACAGACTACTACACCTTTTTTACCCAAGAAGGCCTATTGTATCTGCCTGAAGGAAATAGATTCAGCTATGTCAAAAGCATATCTTTCAAGAACATAATCTTAAAAGTGAATTGTTTTATGGCCAGCGTGGTGGCTCTGGCTCACATCTGTAATCCCAGCACTTTGGGAGGCCTAGATGGGTCGATCATCTGAGGTCAGGAGTTCAACACCAGCCTGGCCAACATAGTAAAACCCTGTCTTTACTAAAAATACAAAAAAAAAAAAAAAAAAAAAAAAAAAAAAAAAAAAAAAAAAAAAAAAAAAAAAAAAAAAAAAAAGCCAGGTGTGGTGGCACTCACCTGTAATCCCAGCTACTCGAGAGGCTGAGGCAGGAGAATCACTTGAACCTGGGAGGTGGAGATTGCAATGAGCTCAGATGGCACCACTGCACTCCAGCCTGGGAGACAGAGTGAGACTTCATTCAACAACAACAACAACAACAAAAAGTGAATTATTTTAAGATAAAAATGTATGCATTGTATGCATTTTCTTTTTCTTCTGGTCTTCCACCTTATGATCCTCAGGTCCATTACAATATAGGTTTTAGGGTAATGAGTACATTACACCAATAGATTTGCTCATATATTTAAAGAAAAAGCATAGGCAGCTAACCACATTGCCATGTATGTACCTATGCAACAATCCTGAATGTTCTTCACATGTACCCCAAAACCTAAAACACAATAAAAAATAAAAATTTTTTAAAAAGGAAAAAAAAAGCATAGCCTAAACATGCATTATATTAAAGGAAACAAAGCAAGCAGAGGCTATAAAAGTAAACAGGTCAGAGAAAATTTTATGCATAAGTGCAGAAGCCACCAACAGAAGATGCAGTAAAAACCCTATCCTGTCTTGTCTCTGGTAACTGCTTCCTAGTAATGTCTTACCACTACCTTGGACTTGACGTAGCACAAGGCGGCCATCTGTCACTGACACAAGCGTATTCCAGCGCATCTAGAAAAAGGATATGGAATTAGCTCTCTTTCTTCAGCAGTCATAGTTCTGAGCCTCTCTGCCTACCACTTTTCATCTATTTTATTGAAATTCAGTTTTGTGAGCAACTAAACTCTGGCTGAGAGAAATGTGTCTGCAATCCTTTTCAATATATCCACTTTTCAATGTAATCTCAAACTCTGACTGGGTTACACTTTTAAACTAATTCCTTAAGATTTATAGTATCTTAAACTTTCTTTAATTCGACTTTCAAATTCTAAGAGGACTTAGATAATTACATTTGCAATGTGTATAACTTTTATCATAATTATGTGCAAAGAGATACTCTCGTTATCAAAAAATGGCTAATGTCCAGTAGCTGTCAACTCATCTTTTGGGAGTGGGGCAGCAATGCACCATGGTGGTTAGTTTGAGTGGCAAGCTGTCTAATTTATTTCTTCTGAATGAATTACCAGGAATTACAGTAACACAAAAATAAAAAGGCTGTGCAAGTGCCAAGTAATTAAGCACGGTGATGGAATTACATCAGGCTGCCGTGTGGGGTCTAGGCTTTAGCAAAAGAATAGAAAATTGATTTATATTATCTAGATGATCATGTCTTTACTTTGCATGTCTCTGCTACCAATTTATAATACTTCAGTCTGCCTTTTCCTAAGATTATGCCAGCTAGAAGGCATTTGCTTTAACTTTTATATTTGTAGTCTGTAAATGCACAGAAATTTTCTTGTCTTTTAGAGATATGTAGATAATAGAAAATACTAACTCTTCTCTACCCTGCACAAGTACTTACTATTTGACTGATAAGTGTTTAAATTAAAAATCAGGCTATCAACCTCTATTATATGCCAATATTCTATATAGAAGTTATAAAATAAATTATTATGCAGATAAAAAGTAGAAGAGGGACCCAGTTTGTAAAAGAACAGTGATTTACTGTATCACTGTTCACACACATTTTTGAAGAATAGTGTTTTACTGTATCACTATTCATATTTACTGTATCACTGTTATATATATATGTATTTTTAATATCCTTCATGCCCTTTAGGACATTAGTGCATTTGTCAGTAGAAACTTGGATATAGGAATGAGTTATTTAAGGAAATCAGATCTACAGAGCAAGCATCTCTTAGAAAGGCAATAATATCTTGGTGTCCAAGTGGCCCCAATTAAAAATAACAGTTACTTACAATTTTTGAATCCTAATGGGTCTCCTACTCTCCCATTCTCCCACCTACCTTATCCCACAAAAGAATAGTCCTTTGAGAGGTATTATGTATATGTGGGATATTTTTCTCTTTTAATTTTATCTTGTTTTCTGAATAAAATGCATAAAGACTTATGTAAAATCGTACGTATAAGCAGAATATAAAGTCTGCACAACTGTATTAGAAGCTTCAGGATATGATTTTTCTAATTTTGAAGTTCAGAAATGTAGCAACAAAACCTTGCTTGCGACAGATGAGCGAGTTCCAAAAGAGCATATGAGAGCAAAAGATCAAATGAGAAAGAACGTAAAATGACAGTGATATCTCCGTTTCCCAATCTAGAGACATAAAGCTGAGATTTGGTTCTTAAAATTATGAAACTAAATTACAAAAATTCATCTTCTCCTTTCTCCTAGTTTATTTCTCACAGGGAAAAAAAAAGCCCTCTTCTGAGAGAAATTTCTAGTGCAGGGTATGGAACCCTAGCAAGTTCTGATAGTTTCATTGTTCAGCATGTCACTTTGTCAGGCACTCAGTGTATTCTCTGCTTATTCACTCACAGAAACCAATCAAGATGTGTTTCCAGCTAACCTAGGGGTCACCTTGAGTTGTTAACTGCCTGCAGCAAGAATGACAAAAATATTTTCCAGCATTTTACAATTACAATGTTAGACAATGTCATTTTTAAGTCAAGAAAAAAACTGGAAAACTTAGCAATATACTAGAAAAAGAATGAGTTAAGAAAAAAACCGAAATATGCCCTATTAGGGTTAAGAAAACTGGCTCATATTATCCTGAATAAGATAAAGCTACTGGAAAAGTATAAATTAGTCCAGTTGACCCTATGCTCTACACAAAAACACAACAAAACAAAAACCTCTGTAAAGAGAAAACTCAGTATATATTTCTCAAAATCCATTTAGCTCATAATGAATTTTTTGGTTTGTTTTTATAGTAAACCAAGGGATTGTTCTAACTCAGTGAAAACTAAAAAAAACAGCTAAGAGAACAAACACACATACAAAATATTTGAATGTTAAACACATGGAGATGTTTGACTTCATTTTAAATGAGTCAAAACCTTCTTGAGGGGCATATAACAATATGTCTTAAGCCCCACTAGACTCAGTAATTCCAGCTTTGAAATTTAAGAATGTGCCCGAAGATCTCGCAACAATTAGACTCTCCACAGTGTCCAAATAAACAAATAGGAACTTATTGAGTTCTGGAATATCCATAAAATGGAACACTCTGAAACTATTAAAAAAAATCATGTGGCAGAAGTTTATTTATTATAAAACAAAGATATTCAAGATTAAAATAGAAATTTGACACAGCTATTTTATGTGTCATTTTTGGGTATGGCCATTTTTTCCCAGCTTAACTGAGGGAAAATTGAAAAACAAAACTCTACATTTAAGGTACAGCAAGGGTGTCCAATCTTTTGGCTTCCCTGGACCACACAGGAAGAATTGTCTTGGACCACACATAGAATATACTAACACTAACGACAGCTGATGAGCTTTAAAAAATTGCAAAAGAAAAATCTCATATGTTTTAAGAAAGTTTACAAATGTGTGTTGAGCCACATTCGAAGCCTCCCAGGTCTGCACGTAGCCCACAGGTGGTGGGTTGGACAAGCTTGCTGTACAACAGGATGCTGTAACCCAGTACTGCCATTTCTCTAAGAGAACGAAAAGGAGTTATGTTTTCAATTATTATTTCTTCTTTTCTCTTTCCTCCTCTGCCCCTGTTCCCCACTTCCTACCTCACTCTTTAGAAATGCAATTAAACCTCTACCTTCCCTTCATCAGACACCCCCTACAGGACAAGCTCATCTAACGGTGCGTATCTAGAAGCCCCAGAGCTGGCAATCTCTCCCACCAGAAGATAACCTCTAGAGACGAGAGTCAATTTACAACTTAAATATGCCCACAGGACACTCTCTCCCATCTGGAGAGTATCTCAAGACCACAGCCACCGTCCAATCTAGCTCTGCCCATGATGGCACCAGCTCAACCACTGGGTGGATAAGGCAACCAAGCAAGTCACCTAGACTCCCAACCTCTCCTTCCCTGCATGCCATTCATGCCAAGTTCCTTTTTAAAAGCTCTGACTTTCTGCCCCAAAAGTGAAACCATGGCTTTAAAGGCAGGAGCCTGGACTTCTTTCCATAAGCTAAGTTTGAATTAAAAAGTCACTTTCTTTATATCAGACCTCACTCTTGTTAACTTGACTTGGCAAGCATCGAGGGAGTGAATCTCCAATCGAGTTACAATGCTTTGATATATGTAAATATTGCGAAGTGATATCAAGTTAGTCAGCACCTCCATCACTTCACATAGTCTTTGCTGTGTGATGAGAACATTTAAGGCCTCTCTTTTAACAGATTGCAAGGATACAATACAGACAGTTCCCTATTTACAATTTTTCAA